CCCCCCAAGACCAATTTCCTAGGGGAAACACTGTAGGCCTATTATAAAAAAAACTTTATTCTGAAAGTGTGGTGGCTATGATTTTTGCCGTGGCGGTGCACCACGATCAATTACATTTAGGGGAAACCCTGGAATGGTGTGAAAGAATTTTCAAGGAATTGGACTTACCAATGGACACCGCGAAGACAGTTATCATCATCAAGATGAGAAAATATGACAACAGTGACATTACCGAGAACTGAATGTCCATTCGAATTTGATGAAAAATCTACTGGTCGGGGAAGTCAAGAGACCTACAGCAAACAGCTTTAAAGAAACTACAGGAATTTCTTGCAATCTCCTGTATTCTTTGTATGTCTGGGCTACAGGGTAAGGTTGTATGAGGAAAGCCTTTTCATACAAAAAAAATTAAAGGCTGACTGAATTTAGCAAAAAACACATTGTCTTTGGGAGACTCAAAGACAATGTAGGAAAATATGTCATGGTCTGATTAACTTTTTGGCCATAATTCCATAAGGTATATTTGGCACAAACCCAACACTGCACATCATCAGAAGAACACCATACCTACAGTGAAGCATGGCGATGGCAGCAACATGCTTCAGGGCTGTGTTTCTTCAGCTGGGCCTGGGGCCCAAGTCAAGGTGAAAGGAATTGTAAAAAGTTTCAAATACCAATCAATCTTGGCACAAAACCTTCAGGTTTCTCCTATAACACTGAAGACGAAGGGAAACTTTGTCTTTCAGAACGACCCAAAGCATTCATCCAAATCAACAAAAGAATGGCTTCAGAAGAAAAAGATTAAAGTTTTGAAATGGCCCGGCCAGAGTCCAGACCTGAATCCCATTGAAAATTTGTGGGTTGATCTAAGGAGGCTTGTGATATGACAGATTTGGAGCGTTTTTGCAAAGAAGTGTGGTCAAACATTGCCAAATTATGATGTGCCATGCTGGTAGACCCCTACCCAAAAAGGTTGTGCTATAATAAAGGCGCTTCAACAAAATATTAGYTTAAGCATGTGCACACACTTGCAACCACTTTTTTATTTCTATTTTTTAATTTTTTTTACGTTCCCCTCAAAATGTCTTTTTTATTAAGTTGTATAAATTATAGCTCACATTAAAGGTGGAAAGAAATTCTGAAATAATTTATCTTGGAAGATAAGGATGGTCTAATTTTTTTAAATCACAAAAACCTAGAATGTGTAGACTTTTAATATCCACTGTATGCACTCTGAACCGATTCTTTGTTTCCTTTAAAAAAGTGGAAGAAAAAAATAATAATCAAAAATGTGGTCACATGCAAATTGTGAGGCTCCACTATAAGTTTGAAGATCGATATCTCAGACTCTGATTTTTACTCTGCATTCCAAAAATGGGTCTAAATGTCAGATCAGCTCAGGATAACTGCTCAAGTTTCAGTTGATGAATACAAAGGCTGCCATTGTGTTCCCCTTCTGATGCTATGCTAATCAGACCCCCCTCCACACACACACACACACACACACACCCAAACACAAACGTCGTCACAATTTTCAAATGATTACTTCTATACCAACATCTAATTTCTCACACCTGAAAGTTAATATTGAAATTCCTGTTTTCAGGCTAGATTCACCCTTATACAACAGCAATCTAAGTTGTATAGAATGTTTAAGTGGCTGCAAGAAGAATGTTGTGTTACACAGTTAAACACACTAAAAAGTTTCCGTTTTCCTTGATTATGTTTTGTTGCCAACATTAACTGTCCCTGCATAAAGAGAAGGAAAACCTCAAGGGTACAGGTGTGGTTCTGTCATCTACAGGAAACCTCTTCTAAGCTGGCAATTCTTTGTTTCTTCCCATCTTTCCTCTTAAACTCAGTGTTGAATTCAACAGACACACTCATTCATGTGTGACAGACATCAACAATAGAGCATCACTGCTTGTGTCGGCCACTTCTGTCAGCTTTACAGTGTCTATGACAATATGTCAATCTTATCTATCTTTTCTGTTTCTCTGTTTCCAAATGAGGTAACCTGTTTACGGTTTTCTGCGGTAATGAAGGACTTTTCTCCAGTCTGGAAATACACTGAAATCCAAAGCTTTTGATTTACTGGTCCGTCAACGCTCCAGCCCAAGCTATGGTCATAAGGTATGAAGTATGACCCAAAGAACAAGATCAGGATGCAAGCAGTTGAAATAAACTTCTTCATTAGGTTGGCCAGGCTTCCTCATAAAGATCCTTCCAAGTCAAAAACAGACATCGGAGGTGGTTCAGGCATTCAATTAACATGCTCAAGGACACCTCTCCTTGGAGGTGTTAGAGGCACAGCTAACTGGGAGAAGATCCTGTGGAAACAGAAATAGCTCAGTGACTTACGTATCTTCTCTGCCCTGCAAACACCTTGGGATCCCCCAGTATTGCAGTGTTGCCAACTAAGGAACTTTGTTTTTAGATTTAGTGAGTTTTCAGAACCCACTAATGACCCCTCTTTTTTCCAAAAAGCAACTAGCAAAAAATCCAGCAACTTTTTAAATGGTAAGTGGACTATACTTATATAGTGCCTTTCTATCCAACTAGGATRCTCAAAGCRCTTTACATTACAATGTGTTCCCACATTTACCCATTCACACAACATTTTATTAGGTCTCTACAAAGCTAACATATACAAATYATCTATGGAGACTAATCAGTACTAATCGCATTACTACACTAATGGGACACACATCAGAGGCATTGGGGGTGAACAACTAAGACAGCTGGAAGTGGGATTGAACTGGCAACCTACTGGTTCCAGGACAACGTGAAAGGAAGACCTGACTAATTCCAACATAAAGTGCATTACAATAGTCTAGTCGGCTAGTAAAGGCATGTACTATTGTCTCAAGGTCAGATATGGTCAGCATTGGCTTAAGTTTGGCTATCTGCCTTAAATGAAAAAAAAATCTGCAAAAAAGAGTTGATCTGCTTGTTAAACAAAATCAGAGTCTAAAAACATTCCCAGCTTCACAACAGACTGCTTGAAATACAACTCAAGAGAGTCAATATTTACTGGAAGGGTGCCAGCAGTACAACTAGTGCTGAATAACTTGTGTTTTCTTATCATTATAGCCTAAAAAATTTGCAGCCATCCGATCCTCAATGTCATCAAGGCATTTTAATAACAAMTGGATAGAGCAAGCACTATTATTAGGTTGTAAGGGCAGGTAGATCTGACAATCATTAATGTAACAATGAAAGGACAGACCATGTTTCCTTAGGATGGACCCTAAAGGAAGCAGGTACAACGAAAACAGAAGTGGCCCAAAATCGATTCCTGTTGAAGTTGAAGGCTATCGAAATTGCGCAACAGGAGGGAAATAGAGCCACRGCACGTAAGCTCGGCCCGGGTTCCGAAAGGCTGGACTGCTACTTGAAGMGGGTACCACAGCTTCAGAGCCAGCATTATCCCGGGATGACTGCGACACAGAAAGCAACGCTGAACAGACCGCTATGTGACAAAGCTTTTCTGAGCTTGTTCATCTCTGGCACTGAAGAGGACTTCGATGGTTTCAGTGCGCCGGAGGAAGATGAATGAGACCTTTCATTGTTTTGTTGGATCAGAAACTGTTAAAGAAAACTACTAAAATAAGGTCAGTGAACCGTATTCCTCCAAACTTTAATTTCTAAAGGTTTGCTTATCRTGTTTTGATGATGAATTCACTTTTTTGACGATATACGTGGGTGTACTGTTTTTTTTATTACTATTTTGGGGTGGTGGCTTTCAGTCTGGTGCGTCATATATGTTATTGTTCGTGGGCTTTTTAAAAAAATGCGGCTTATAGTCCCAGTGCTGGCTCTAGCCATTTTGGTGCCATAGGCGAGTTGAAGCGCAACGAACT